AATAGCAATAATAGACCAACAATCTTGTATGCTGACTCCAGCAGTGACCAATGCAAGAGAAAGTGTAACTTTGTAATGTACTATAACTCCCGTTAGTGTACCAAGAGAAAATTTCTTCCTGACCCCAGGAAGTAATCAGTTTTTGCCATGAATCATGGGGTTTGATAGCCCTGGTTGATTTTTTCATAGCTAGTGTAATTGCATTTGCTATTCTTAGTCATATAAAAGTTTTACTCTCTTTTGAAAACCTATGGAGCTATGTTCATCAATAATATTCTGCATACACGGCACAAACATATTTCTTCTAGCCTGTGTCATTTGTGTTGCTTTTTAATTTCATTGTATTCCCCCTTGTTGCAGTATAGGAAAGGGTAAATATGAGAGCTTGACTAGTTTGCTCTATCCCCATTCATAATTTTAGCATACTTTTACTATGTGTCCTTTTGACCTTCCCTTTCCCAAAGTAAGTAATCCTGTAATGTGCTCACACTCCCTCTTCCTCTTTTGTCACTGTTCTTTCCCATTGACTCCCTTTATCTGTTGCTCCAAATCCATCCTTAATTCCCTTTCATTTTGCTTCTGTCTATCTCCACTATCGATGTATCTGTAAGCTGTCTACTGTAAAATTAATCAGGTTAGCTAATCAAAATCCTGGCATTAACATAAAGTTCAGTTAATTGTGTCTCCTCTATTTTATGAGGAAATATCGCTAGAAGAACTTTGTATTCTGATTAGCTGAAAGGTTCTTCTTGTAGTAAAAAAAAAATTAAGGAGTAAGATACAATAGACAGTACATTTCTTGGCAACTATAGCCTGCTTTGGACTGTGTTAAGAGAAGCATAATAACCGCTAGAACTACACTGCCTGGAGTTCTCCCTTGCAATTAAGAAATGGAAATTACAAAAAGGATCAAGTCAGCCTTGTGCATTTCGGGTGAGTTTCATGCCAGCAGATCCCGCCCAAGCCCCTCTGCACTGTTGTGAATTTTGTCATTACTTTGTATTATTGTCATGAGTACAGTTCACTGACAATCAGAAAGCGCTGTGTGTGTGTTGTGTCCCAAATTTCACAGCCCTTTTCTAATCCATTATTTGATGTTACAGCTGGAACATTTTATCTAATTATAAATTGTTAACATCTCCACTTCAGGTAGACAGTGCTCAAAATTCCCCAGTGTCCCAAATTGCTAAAAATTGCCTAAATTGTGCCGCTCTGACCATGTGGCAGAATCTAGATCGTATTTAGTTAGGTAAGGTTTGGGTAGAATATGGTATGACCTAGAACTCATTAAAACTCCCTAGTGAAGTACATAAACTATTTGCATTATATAAATATTCACACAAAAGTAACTGAACTCCCAGAGACCTGTCCCAGGATAGACTGGGCTTACTGTAAAACCTGGGAAGGATTATCTGGGAGGCAGTCTCCTGGGTTGTCCAAAATCCTGGTGAGGAATCAGAGGGATGTCTCAGGCTATTACACATCTCACGATGAGACTTATCGTGTCCCTATCTTCCAAAAGAAAGGCACAGTGATTAATAACAATGCCAGAAGTACTGACTTGGGTGACAGGGGCTACAAGAAGACTGATAATGAAAAAAAATACATTAACACCTTTGGACAGAGAAGATATTTTTAGAAAGATTATGACTAGATTCCCCAGTTTGGGGATGAGCAGAGTGCCAGATTCCTTTGAGGATGGAGCACCCATCCTTTTGGCCTTTAATGGACACCAGTGGGTCTCTCTCACCTCTCCTCCATCCCTGACTGCTTTTTCTGTTCCTCTGTCCTAACCTCCATGGCACTAAACAGCATTTCTTCCTGTGTGTTGCCGGCTGTGTTTAAGGCAGGCGGCACTCAGCCCCCAGCAGAAGAGAAAGAAAATATGTCAACAGAGGCAAGACAAAGGGAAGCGTGGCTGTAGGAAGGGGGAACCAAGAGGGATAGAACTGGGGTGATGTGGGGAAAGAGACCAAGGCAAATGTGTCAGGGCAAGGGTGGAAATGGGGGCAGAGTCTGATATAGTGGAGAGAGGAAGGAGAGCTCCAACCAGAAAAATGTTGAGAAATACTGGATTATAAGATATGCAGTGTTGTTGTAGCCATGTAGGCCCCAGGCTATTAGAGAGACAAGGTAGGTGAGGTAATATCTTTTATGGGACCAACTTCTGTTGGTGAGAGAGACAAGCTTTCTAGCTACACAGAGCTCTTCTTCAGGTCTGGGAAAGATACCCAGTGTCACAGCTAAATAGAAGGCCGAAGAGAGATAGTTTAGCATAAGTAGTTAGCATATATTATAAGGGACCATTCCAGGTGAATTGGCCCATTAACACCCATTGGACGAAAAGGGGGGTTAGTGAGTTACAGATTGTTGTCATAAGCCATCAATCTAGTGTCGTTATTAAGACCATGATTTTTAGTGTCTAGCAAAGTTATATAGTTAAGCCTCCGGACTCGTATTTCAGAAGTGTTGTGCAGGTTTCCTTTGAGGATGAGGACTGATCGTTCGGCTAGAGAGTGATCACTTTGTGAGAAGTGTTCGCCCACAGGTGATAGGATGTTTTTGTCTCTTACCATTTTCCTCTGAGCTCATTCGAGAGCATAGTGATTGTCCGGTTTCACCCACATAGTTGCTATTGGGGCATTTAGGGCACTGGAATGGGTACATACTCCCTAGTTGCAGGGTCCTAGTGCCTGGGCTCCAGGCCGAGCTCAAATGTGTACTCTGCAATTAGCCCCTTAATCCGAGTCAGCTGGCACAGACCAGCGGCGGGTTTAATTGCAGCGTAGACATACCCTATGAGGCCGCAGCTGATTACTATACACAGAACAAACTATACTAACCCGAAACAGAGAACATAGACCAAAGGAAGTAGACTCTGAGCTAAACAAAGACAGAGGTTGATTGAGGAAGGCTGTCCTGCTGGAATCAGAGAAGGGGAGGCATCAAATAGGGAACAATCTTGCCCTGGCTTAGGGGATGGACTAGGTGACTAGTAGCTCTCTTCCATCTCCATTTCCAATATTTCCTCAAAGCATCATGAAAAGAAAAGAGCTGCAGGGTCTTTATACTGACACATTAATAAACATGAGCGGAATGCAGTATTTTCACCTCCGAGAACTGTGCTTTCCAATAGCAATGCCATAGCCCCACGTGCATGTCTGAGCCTACAGAGATAACCTGGACTCACCAGGGCATATGAGATGACTTTGCTATCTGCTATCCTATCTCTCTATTCCCCTGTGGCCCATCATGTAGGCCAACCTACATTTTGTATGCTCAGGGCTAGCTCTAGATCTTTCTTTTCCTGGCAAAGTAAATGTAAGAGCAATGAAAACAGCATTGGGATCCAATTCTCTAGAGACTCGGTTTGAAAGGGCCTAATATTCCTCATGAGCAAGATGAGCCAATCATTCACAAGGAGCTTTTTTTATTCTGCAGAGCACCAGAGGCGAATGAACAAGGGAATCTACAGAAATGCATCAGCAGGGGGAAAAAGAGGGGAGGAAAATGTGCTGGACCAACTAGGAGCCAAGGTGCTAGACAGGTAGCGTTCCTGGCAAAGGGAGAGGCACCCAGTCTGGGATCCCCCATCCCTGCCTCTCTCCACTGCTGGATTCTCCTTACCATCTTCCTCCCGTTCCTGGTGGCTCCCCCTTTCTCCCTCCTCTTCACAAATGCTTTCCCTTCCAATGGCTCCAACACCACTTCTTGGAGGGCTCTTTCACCAGTGTTAACATCCCCTCTGCTCAATCCCTGTCACTGGTGGCTCTCCCTCCTCATCCATCCCAGGCCCGCCTGCCTCTCCTCACCTGCTCAATCTCTCAGGGCTTTCCTTCTCATAAGCCATTTTCTCCCCTTTTCTATCTCCTTCCCCCACCCCTGTAGCTCCACCATCTCTGTCTGTGGTGGTTCCTCCACACACTGCCTCATCTCTGCAGCTCTCCTCTTTTCCTCCCCCCTCCACCCACTCCTGCCTCCCTCCCCCACCAGTAGCTGGAGTTTCCCCTTTGGCAACCCTCTCCTTTTATTTCCCCTTCCTGGTGGGGCCCCACTCAACACCCTTTAAACCCAGGTGGGTGCCCCACTCAGACACTCTCCCATGGGGGTGGGCAGAGGCATGGTTCCTGGTGGCTCCCTGCTTCTCTCCCTTTCCCCCCAATCCTAGGGAATGTCCCTCCCCACCGTATCTGGTGGATCCCGGAACACCCCGTAGCCCCTCCCTCCCCACGTCCGCTCCTACCCCTGAAGGGTCTCCTTTTTCTCCTCCCCCTTCAATCGCACTGGGTCTTCTTTAACCCCCCCCCCCCCCCCCCACCCCTGCTGTCTTCTCCTCCCCGTCCCTCCTATTCCCCGCACCCATTGTTCGGTCCCCGGGCAGGGAGCGTTCCACACCAGCACCAGCTGCTGTTTCTCCCTGATTAGGTCCACCAGCCTCTCCCTCCTCTCTCCTTTTCCAGTCCACCTTTTCTCCCTTCATCCTTCCTTCCTCTCTCTCTTTCCTGCCCCCTCTTTCTCCCCTCCCACGCTCCCCCTCCCCTCGCCTCCCAGACACACACACACACACACACGGGCAATGCAGCTTTAAAGGCTGGTCCACGTGAGGCTGGTGTGTGTCTATTGATTGCATCTCGGGGCTGCAGCTGAGGCGGCCGAGCGCCAGCGCTGGGGGCTGCAGTTTGCGGGGAGGACTGAAGGATGCGCGGCTTGAATTCAACGTCAGATCAAGTTTGATCAATAACCCCATCCCGGCCCAATTGGAGGAGCCTCTCTGACGGGGAGGGGGGCGATCGCTTTCTCGTCTCTACCCACCATCTTTGGGGGGGAAGTCCCCGCTTTTTGGGGGGGTCTGCGCGTGTGGCTAGGGACAGGGGAGCAAGCCAGCCTCGCAGTCCAAGAGCCCTTCCCGGTTGGGGTGAAGAGACAGAAGAGCGGGCTTGCAACCTCCGCCGCCTCCTCACCAGCATTATTCTTATTTCTTGCCTCTCCCGTTGCACCCATGCCCGTTCTGTCAGTTTCGTTTTAGGAATTGAATTGCAGGGGCTGAAGAAAATGGGGCAACCCGTGCCTCAGACTCTCCTGCTTTTGGTGGCTGGTCTTTTGGGGGAGTCTTTGGGAGGATTTCCCAACACCATCAGCATAGGTAAGCAAGCACCATCTTTTCGGAAATGGAACTTGAGCTGAGTCGAGTTATTTCATCTCCTTTGCATTTTAATCTGTAAGTCTCTTACCTCGAGGCATTAAACCTAGATATAGCCCCCCCCCCGGGGGGAGGGGAAAGGCAGGGGTCTGGTTAAAGCAAGGTAGCTGTTTGTATGAAATGGGGGGGGGTGCATTGCTCTCCTAGATCCCTGGTGGTCTTCGGAAGAAAGGGACTTTCTCTGGGGATGGAGGTGGGAGATTGTATTATCCTTTCCATTGGGCACATTCCTGGAAGTCACCAGCGTGGTTTCTTCTGAAATTGTAAAAACCTCCCAGGATCAAACTTGCCTTGTTTTCAACAGAACAGAAATAAACAGCAGTGTGGAAGGACTTCCGTGCCATTTCCAGAGGGCTTTGTGCGCCCTAGGCTGGCACCGTGCGTGGGAGAGCAGGGCAGTGCAACAGAATCACTCAAATAATCAATCTCCTGCCTGCCTGGCTTCTAATGGCCCAAAGAGGGGAGCTTTATGAACGTAGTTTTCGTTATTATTTAGCTGTAGGAAAAAGTTCCCTGCCTATGGGCTTTGGGGGTTAAGAGACTCCAAGCCATGCTGAATTACTCTGTATTTGTTCACCTCACTACCCAAAGGGAGATTTGACCTACGTTCATATGAACTCATGCCCTAAAGCAGCACACTGTACATGGGAAAAGCAGGGAGGGGGGGCATGCCCACATTTATTCCCTCAAATCCACATTTGGGGACCTAAACAAAAGTGGCCTGATTTTCAAAGGTGCTGCTGAACACCTGCAGCTGCCATTGATTTCAGTGGGAGTTTGGGGTGCTTCTTTATTTACACGCCTGTATATGGCTTTAGGAGCCTGGCTTTAGGCACCCAGGACTGACAATTTTGGAGTACGTATTTAATATACGCACTATATGCATATCTCTAGCTTCATGCGCTCACTGCTGCTATATATAGCCTGTAAATATAGCTTATTGTACCTGATATTCCTAAGGAATCGTTTTCAAATCTTTGTCCTTTGATTTTTTTTCACCATAGGTGGACTTTTCATGAGAAATACTGTTCAGGAGCATAGTGCATTTCGATTTGCTGTGCAGTTATACAACACAAACCAAAATATCACAGAAAAGCCCTTCCATTTGAACTATCATGTAGACCATTTGGACTCCTCCAACAGTTTTTCAGTGACTAACGCTTGTAAGTATCTACATGTTTTTCTGTAATTTAGTGTGCTGGTATCCCTGTTTGCATTTTTTTTTTTAATTCTCCCTCATATAGTGGAGCTCTAATTAATATTTCATGTACTCTAGTGCAACAAATGTGGTACTTGACAAAAGGTTTAATGGGTTTGCAGCATTGCATGGTTGAATAATATCTGAGGGAAAGTTTTATCACCACTTCTCTTCACCCCTTAAAAATGGAAATGTTTTTTATTTATTGTTTTCAGAGATGCAATAGACTTCTTTAGAAAGCCAAGATTTATAGTCTTAGTTTAGCAAATCCCTGCTGATGATACATATCACTTTATTGGTAAGCATAATTTGACAAGTAACACCATGTAGGAATAAAACATGGAAAATGCTGTTTTCAAGTGACCTTGAAGGGACAAAGCTAGATGGGCTTACTGGCCTCCTTCTGTCCTAAGATATCTTTTTTTTTTTTTTCCACCCCTGACGGAGAAAGTCCTGATCAAAACCAATGAGACTGCAAACTGATGAATGCTGTTAGAGCTGAGGGGAGTGGGAAAGGGAAGAGAAAACTTAGCATTTTGAAAAATAGCTCTGAATGTGCAATAGTTCCATATAATTTGATTCTCCAGTAGCAATCAATGCAAACTAGAGGTTGGAGGGGAGTGTCTGTGTGTTTAGAAACAACATCCCTGCCTGAAAGTTTGGTGTGTGTTCTGCATTTAGCAAGACTTGTTAAATTACCCATAATAGTGGTTATAGCTGAATGAAGTTGTTATACAGTTTTGAACACTGGGAAAGTTTTCTGAAAAGAAAGCATTGTACTAATACGCAGGACTACATTGTTATTTGTAGGTTTAAGACCTCATATCTTGAACTGCTAATTTAGAGAGCATTTAATGCGTTTGTTTTGTGATATGATCGTTTTTGTACAGTTCCTCTCTAGATCTTTATAATTTAAATACATATTTTGTTAGAAAGGCTGGATGACCAGATAATTAAGCTTCCTCTGGAGCTTAATTATACTGTATATAAAGTATATAAAGTATACTGTAAAGAAATTTCTGTGAAATATGTGGATTGCTATTCTAATACATACCCCATGTGCCTCCTTCCTAATAGTACAGAGTTAGCCTTTTTTAAGGGGTTTGGGATTAGGATTTACAAATCTAAGATACCCAATTATAATATTTGGTAATGTGTTAAAAAGGCACAAAAAAGTATGTCTGTTCTTTGCGTCTTATTTTACTAATCCTATCCTGCCTCAACAGCTCTTACAACAAACATCTGGCTGTTAATCCTTAATCAGTGTAATCCCTTCAAGAGGCTGTATCTCAAATATAGTTTCCTAAATATCAATTATATGGATTAAAACTAAATACATTAAACAGCAAGGCTGATTAATAATTAAATTGGATTTTTTAAAAAACTTCTATAAGTTCCTCTTCACAGATGCCACTAAGATAAGTGGGCCGTGCTCCCTTGGTCAGTGGACAGTTTATTATTTAGTCAGTGCATTGCTAATCTTCCCACAGCTAACCATGTTTGAGGGTTGCTTAGCATGTGAAAATTATGGTAATTTAGCAATTTTATGAGTTGGTTTTCTGTGGCAAACTGAAAATGGTGCTGCATATTCTAGGGAACATATTATCGTGTAGTGAAATTTGGAAAAAGTTAAATCCCTGGAAGCACCTTAGTACAGGGAATATCAACTTCGACAGTGTATTGAACAATAACATTTAAGGGTAAATAAATAGAAGAGAGGAAATGAAAAGGTGACCTTGGGTCTGTCTATGCCACTGACCTCATATACTGGTAGAAGAAGAATATTTACAATCCTACCTTCTGAACACTGAAGGTCCTTGCAGTTACAAATAAATAACTAGAAGGGCTGTCATTCTTCTCAGCTCTGCAAGCAATTATCTTTGAAAGTCGGAATGCTCATACATACCAATGCACTAGGATGAACTAATGGCTCTTCACACTACATGGCTCACATGTAAAACTGTCTGGCCTAAGTATCCCCAATCAGATTGTCGTTCCCTAATGGAGTAGTAGGTAATTTCAGGGGGCAGTGTATTAGTGAAGGAACGTTCCTCTCTCAACATTTTTACTCCTCTTGAAAATGAGAATAAATTGTCTCAAGTGCTGTCACACAACCTTTTTATCGATATCTGCAATTGGCAGGGATCCACATTCGAGAAACCTGCAGTGACTCCACTGATTCCCATCGCCAGTAAGAATCACTGTGACTGACTTTGTGAGGGGCTGCTGGAAAGGAAGTGAGGGGGAAATCAGTGACTGTCCCATATGTAATCCAAGCATATTGTGGGTTTTAGTCAATATCCATAAACCATCAAATGCTGTTAACCTGCTGTTTTGAATTGGAAGTATTTGCAGGTAGGGGTGTGTGAGTGAGAGAGTGAATCAAGGGGGCATCCTACTCAGAAAAATGTTTTTGATAAGACTGTACATCCCACTTGGTGCAGTCTAGTGCATTCTAGAAGAAGAAAGAAAAGTCTCTTATAAATATCTTTACAAGACAGAGATAAAAAGCCACCTCTGCTAGGGGTGATTTAGCAATATCCCAAGGGGGGGGGAATTCCTTCAGGGGCAAGAAAACCCCCGCCCCAAACTCCCTCTAATCCCCCTTTTCAATTAAAATACTGCATAATCTGGTTTTCTTATATAGTCTCTGTACACCCTGCTTCCATTCTCAGTGCTGAGCAGATATATCTACAGTAGCTGTCCATCCATCTGTTTATTTAGACGTATGATATCTGCAGAGAGAGAGAAAACTCTCAACTAAGAATTCAATTTTTCCCTGAAAAAACTGAATTAAAGTTTATTGGTGAAGTTTTGCTGATTTATTACATATTTTAAAATATGCACCCATCCAACTGCAGAGAAAATACCAGTGGAAAAAGTAACTCAAGCTGTATATAAATAAAAAGCAAGTAAAACACAGACATTAGATCTTTTCTTCAAAAATTCTCACATAGGGAGTGAGTTGTCTTTGTCAAAATAATTTGAATGTAACAGCTGAAATGTATAACTTCATCACTGAAGCATGTTTCAGATTTATCTTATAACCTCTGATGGAGTGTTAGCATTAATGTTGAATTATGTTTAAGGTTCTGTAGATCATATTCCCTAGAAATAGCCTGCCTATGTCTTTCTGCTCTGCACTTGTAGTGCACTACAATACATTGCTCTAGCCTCTGCAGTGTTAGCTCATTAGCACACAGATCTCATATTCCCTCTCTGCACTGTCATTGCAAAAATTGCTGTTGTACACCTTTACAGCCAACAAATGTGCTCTTGGATTACATACCGTTTGCAAGAAGTATTTAGAAAAGTAAATCCAACCTTAAGGTTATTCACTGTGGAATTTTGCTAGGGAAAGCATTACCTCTAATAAAAATCTGTTGATCATGTAATGGTGATGGTGGGATATGTTAGGGGAGAAAAAGACTTTGATTGCAGAATTTAATTAATCTACACAAAGACTCCCTCTCCCAGCTAAATCCAACCCATGAGCTGCAAATTCCTGTCCCATCAATTTTTCTAACTCGTTTCTCATATATCTGCTAACCCACAAAGTTCCTTTTATATTATAACAAATTTTGATGTTTAGTGTCCTTTCCACAGGCATTTCTTCTTTAACTAACCAAAGGGAGAGAGTATAATTACCTAATTATCCTAATTTGCCAAGATCCATTGAACTATTTGTTTGGGTACTTCCTTAGGGAGTAACATTTGTAGCTTTATTTGAATATTGTTATTCGTTGTACTTACTTTCTTCATAATTAATCTTTAAAATTCAGTCTGACGAGATTTTAGAGAAGGAACACTTGCGTTTTTGTTGCTGCACTAACATTGTAGAAATAGATACCGCAAAGAATGTAACAGGAAACATTTCCTATTTAATTTTATTTATTCCAACATATACACACGCACACACACACACTTTCTTGTTAGCTGCTGCTCAGTATTTCTTTTTGCCAGTGGGCAGACAATTTGCTTTCCTCGCATCTGTGCTCTCTTTGGCCAGCTGGCAAAGGACACTGATGCTCAAAGTGGTCAGCTCCCTACTGCCAAAGACTTAAACGTGTCTCTGTAAAATTCTTGCAAACTTTGGGCCTGATACTGGGGGTTTAGCCTGAGTAAAGACTGCAGATTACAACACTTTAAAATGTGCTTTCAAAATAATTCTGTTCCTAACAGATTAGCAAATAGCTTTAATACTATGGATATTCCATAATTAGGAATCTTTTTATTTTGTGCTCTGTTTAAAACAAAAAATCCCATGTTTATTCAATTGTTAAAAATTAAAAGAGCTGATGTTAAAATTTCTGTGTCTTTGGGCATGTGGGACGATAGCAAAAAGTTGTGTTTGCACTAAAAGTTGTAACCATTTAATGGAAGAGAGTTTGTGATTAACCTTATGGTGATTTTGTTGCCAGCAAAGAACTGTGATATTTTAAAATAAGATTCTATTTTAAAATTAAATTGAAAAACTTCAATGAAAAAGTTTCCTTCTCCCTTTTCAGATGTTATGATTTTATTCAGTTGATTTAGTACAGAAGGGAGGAAAAGTCCAATATCAATAAATACATATTGATAAAGCTCCATAAGTATGCACAATGCTTTACGAAGCAAGCAAAGAGGCAAACTTACAATCTAAGACACCACACATGGTCCCCCTAATCAGTTAATTTTCAACTGGAATTTGTACAGGTGTAGAAGTCTGCACATGCATTTCCTTTTATTGGACTGTGAACAAAGCCCCACATGAATGGTCTTCGTTACTCCAGTGGGACTAGTCACATGAGACAGGGAGCTGTAGGGTCAAGCCAAATCTATGGCAATTTTGAAACAGTGGACAGCAGTTCATCTCTAAGAGACTATGAAGATACCCTGATTGGGAGATAAGCATTGGAGAGTTGGTGTGTTAAAACACATTTGTAAAGGGTAGAGCACTTGGGATTTGATCCAATAAACATTGAA